CCCTTTCCTGATACAAAGGCCAGTCTCTGGCCCAAAGCATGGGGGTGCTAGCGCTTTCCGAAAAAAAGGTCACCAGAATCTTTTTAAAATTGAAAAAGGTGTATTTTTCCCTTGTCTCATTCTTAAATGGCTGGACCATTTTGCTGAAAATTTCCAAGAAAATTCAGCTTGAGACAGATACCCAGCATGGAAAATTTGAGCCTGAATGGTTGAAGTTTCCTTGCAGTCTTCTTGTAGCCATGTTGGTTCCAGGAAATGAGAGGGACAAGGTAGATGAGGTAATATTTTATTCGACCCACTTCTGTTTGTGTAAGGTTGCTTGAAAACTTGTACACAGAGCTCTTCTTCGGGTCGAGGAACAGAAGAAGTGTGTCTGAGCTAAATACAAGTTGGGACAGATTAAGCTGAAGGAGTAACATATTGGAGGTGGTCACTTGAAATTAATGTGCAGTTGGGGTTAGATTGTTATGCATAAAGGATTTGAAGTGGGCAATTAAGGGTAGCAGGCAGTATGGTGTGTTACAAATTGTTGTAATGAGCCTTCAAACCAGTGTCCCTGTTTATGTTCATGGCTTTTGTCCACGTCTATCAGAGTTATGAAAGTAAATTCCCAGGCTCACCTTTTGACGGTGTTATGCGTTTTTCATTGAGGACAAGTATTGAAAGATCAGCTATGGAGTGATCTCTTTGTGAAAAAGTGTTCTCTCATGGGTGATACGTTTTTGTCTTTTATCGTTTTCTGTGTGAGTTCAGAGCATAGTGGTTGTCTGGTTTCACCCACATAGATGTTTTTGGGGCATTTGATGCACATGATGAGGTACCACCACCACACGTTCTAATAAGCATGTGAAGGACCCAAGAATCTTGAAAGGTATGTTGTAGGGGGTTGTGACATTGTCTAATTAAAATATAACCATGCAAGTCATTATTGCTACCACTGTTATATAATTGCAACAAATCTTGTACAAAATATAATGCATGGCCACCAGGCTAACCCAAAGCCGACCTTTAAAGACATGTTAGAAATGGTAATTAGGGCCATTCTATGGCTAGATAGGCTAGAACTTTGAAATGGAAACCTATATTGTTAGAAGTGATACTAATTGTGTGTATCTTGGATACTACCCATGTAAACAGACAGTTCCTGTCTGTCACTATAACTACTAATTCAGAGGTCAAAAAGGAATATTAACATTTAGATGAATCTTGGGTGAAATAATGTCATTGTCTATATGTCTCTTTGAAGTTTGTGATAGTCTGCCTAATGGATAAATTGCCCTGTGTTAATTTGTGTAATCAATTACTGGTGATGTTGAGAAAACAGAAGGTTACATCAAAAGCCAATTGTTTACCCAGGACTGTATGGTCAAGTGGATGCTAGAACACTGTATAAAAAGACCCTTGGGTCCTGATCCTGTTGATCTCTGATCTGCTTGAGGTTTCATGCAGGGGAAGCCTAAGCCACAAGGACTGAGATCCCTGTTCTGACTGGACCGCCCTGAAATATAAATATTGGACTATAACCTATGGACTATTTCTGAAAGAACTCTTTGCAACTACAAATCTCACCATCTCTGCTATGAATCTGAACCTCAAAAATTGAACTCATGTATACTGATCTTTTAACCATACTCTCTCTCTCTCTCCTCTTTTAATAAATGTTTGTTTAGTTAATAAGAATTAGCTGTAGCGTGTATTTGGGTAAGATCTGGAATATTCATTAACCTGAGAGATAATGTATCTGATCCTTTGGGATTGGTAGAACCTTTTCTTTTATATGATGAAATAAGATTTTGAGAAATCTTCATCATATTTGACTTGGGTACCTGGATGGAGGCCTGAGACTGGGTTACTTCAAGGGAGCTGTGTTGTTTGGACTTCTGAGTAACCAGTAAGGTATAACAGAAGCTGTTTAGTGCTGGCTTGGTAAATCTAAGTATTGAATTATCCACCAGCTTTGGGGTTTGTCTGCCCCATTCTTTGCAGTTCACCCTAATTGAGTGACCTCGGGTGGCTCCCCACGGGGACCCCGGTCACAGGGGTATTAATCATCATGGCAGTGGAGATATGTCTGCAGGTGTTATATCTGTTGTTCTGGCAGGGACTGGTGCTGCTTTGAGTGCCACTAAATAAGGCCACTAAACAACCAGAGTAGATGATCACATCATAGATTTATTAGCACCTAAATACCCTGGGAGAACCCTCTTCAGTTCAGGAAATTGGAAGCACACTAAGCTGTCTGCTACCCTTAATTGCCCACTTCAGACCCTTTATGCCTAACATTTAACCCCCAGGTATACACTTCATTTCAAGTGACTCCAACATGTATTATCCCTTAACAATCTGTTCCAACTTGTATTTAGCTCAGACACTCTGCTTCCTTCCCCATACCTGAGGAAGAGCTCTGTATAGCTTGAAAGCTTGTACCTTCCATCAGTAGAAGTTTTTTCAATAAAAGGTATTAGCTCACCTACCTTGTTTCTCTGGTTAAAGTTTGGCAAAGCTATAAGCAACTGAGAATAGGGTTTTATAATGGGAAGTGTCAGGCAACCAAGTGCTAAAAATAGTAGCACACCTTGGAGGTAACATGGGCGGCGGCTTGGGCTAGCCACCAGGTATGTATCCAGCGGGTCCAGGCAGATTTTTACTCCTTGAGGCTGCTAGCCTGAGCCGGAACCGGTGATACTCCTGGCTGTGCTGCTATTTTTAACATGCTAGCATGTGTCCGTTTACCCTTGCTGAGACGTATGCTCCCAGATAGTGTGTAAACATACCCTCAGAGAGGATCTCTCCCTCCCCACCCCCATGTTTTCCCAGTTCTTGGTCATTATGCTCGGATTTGTATAGTCTGGAAGGTTTTCGATTTCATTATCATATCAGGGTGAGGTGACATCAGCATAAAAAAAACCCCAAAACTTGATCAGGCACACCATCTGGAGGAACTGGATTAAGTTAGTTCTTCTCTGTTAAATGGTTATCAATCCATCATTTCTGCTAACATTTTCCCCAGTTAGCTCTTATGGGATCTCCCAGCTTTTCTCCAAAGCTAGCTTTTAATGGGCCACTGTAATTGTGTTTATCAGCCTAAAGAGGCAAGGTGATTGAATCCTGGTGTATAAGTCAATTGTTCCTGCTTAGAGCTGTTAAGCTGCGCGGCCAATCTTATTTACCCTTTTTTCTATATTAACCTCTTTAGAGACAGAATTTATATTTCTTGTTCTCTTGCCAGTGGAATATAAATTACTGATAGATACCAAATCTGGCACAATATGAGTTTACCGTCTTCAGTGTACTATGATACTTGAGTTAGGTGGCATAGAAATTGATAATGTATGTGGCAGAGAATGTTGAGCAATTATTCAATCTCTTATTTTATATATTCTAATAAACTTGTAATAGAAAAGATAATTTGTTCACATCTATTCTGTATCGTGCCAGAGTTTTGTTCAATTACATTCTACCTGTTTTATTCTTAGTCGTTATGGAACAGCAAAAATGGAAGTTGGGGATTAAGGGAAATATATTTATACTAACTGAGCAAAGAGAGCCATCTATAGGAGAATTTAGACTATTGAAAGTTTTCTTAAGAGAATCCAGCATTACCTTAAAAAGTGTGTTATAAAATTTCTTAAGGCTGCTTTTCTGAATCAAAGCCAACATTTTAAATACTGGGATCCTAAAGTTAGGAACCTAAATCTATATTTAGGCATAAATGTTCAACTCCCTGCAGTAATATGTATATTATAAGATGAGTACATACATAGATCACAGTGAGCTAGGAAGCCAAGGATTACAATTTTATATTGCACTTAAAGGAAACTTCTAAAACCTTGGCTAAGCAATATTTTTTATTAATCTTTTCCTTATACACAGTAATTCTAAAATTCCTGGGTGGATAATTTCACCCTCCATGAAAAATAATTCCATAAGTATGATTTTCATGAGATTGAAGGTCAGTGATGAGAACCACAGGACAAAGAAGGAATGTTGTTTGGCTGAAATCACAAGCTTAAAATTTCGTATGTAATTTATCCAGATGCTGCTTGTAGACAATAATTTGTGTCTATATCATGGTTAATGTGCACGGAGGTTGGACATCCTGCAATAGCAAAGCTGGTTAATGATCCCAGTAGTATGTCCTCTTGATTATGTCACTCGTATTCTGCTACTTTATGTAGTAGAGTCATTATAAGGCCTCAGTCGTGCAAATCCTGTTATGCACATATTTTAATTTTACACAAGAGTAGTCTGTTGAAACATACACGTACTATTCATTTTTCAGGATTTCATGTATGTTGGGAACACCTTTATCACCATCAAAATAACAGCAACCGGTGCCCAAATGAAAGGAGTTCTGACAAATTAATTCACTCTTAGGCCAGGACACCTCTTCTCCTTGACCAGAAGTCTAAGACCTTTAATCCTGGTCTGGTGCACCAGAACATGACACTACAATGTTATGCATAACAACATGTATGTGGTCCCGACCCACTTTTATATAGAGAGCTTGGGTCATCTCTCATCCGGCCGGCTCTCCATTAGCCTCTAATTGGTAAGTCCTTCTGGAGTCAGAGACAGGAATTATTTTCCAAGTCCTCCCAAACAGTCAAGGATTGGGAGGCTGGGTGCCCAAGCTCCTAAATTCTTTGAACATTTAACTAACTGACCAGGGACAAGAGCTCTACCCTCCCTCCTCTCCCCTGCCCCCCAACTGCCCGCCACCGCCTTATAACAGTCTCTCCTACTGACACAGACAGTACTAAACATAATTGCATGAGGTAACGTTATAATGCTTCTCTCAGAAGCAAGACTTTTATACTGCATTGTAGGTCTGACCAAGTTAGAAGAAATAGTGCAGAAATCTTACTCTTTGAATTGTGCGCCTTTTGGGTTGCTTTTTTTATACTTGTATATGGAAAACATATGAATGAATTCACACACAGAAAGAACATGTATTTCATAGGCTGCTTCTTTGTTTTTACAATATTTTGCTTTTTCAGGATCTACATAATCTAGATTTGATGATTGGAATTGCTTCCGGAGGTATTGCTGTGTACAGAAAATTTATTTGCACAAGTTTCTATCCCTGGTAAGTGTTACTTGTTTCTACTTCCTTTATTAATTAAGAGTTACAACTGCTGTTTTAAAATTTTAAATAATATTTTCACATGGCTGTTTATTCCAAAGAGGAAAAATCTATTACTGCAGGGGACCTGATCCTACAAAGATTCATGACTGAGAGTATCACTGAGTTTAAAGGAGTCAGAGTTCAGAGGCAGACTACTCTCATATCTGAGTTTGCAGGATTGGGACACTGGTGACCCTCCACATCCCCTGTCCTTAGGCCCAAATGACTCTGGTTAAATTTTTTAATATTGCTAAACAGCTCAGCAATAAATTGTGGATGATCAGCAATTTTATGAATTTTGGCAAACAGCATTTGCTTCTGTGAAAGAAAGTACATAACCAACAAAAATGACAATTATTGGCAGTTTTCAGGAGTTGGGATAAATGAACAAGCAAAAGAGGAATAAAACAAGTCTACAAGATCATCCACGGTTGACTTATAAGTTTGGGGTCTCCAAAAGGGAAGATACTTTGATGACTGTGTAAAGCTGAAAACAGTAGTATATGCATTCATTTTTGATAGGGAAGTCCCATCGTGGTACAGGTAGGAGAATCCAGAGTTAATGACCCCTATGCAAAGTGATTGAAATGTTATACACATGTCTGGCCATAAGATTTTGGAGAGGATCCAAAAGATTATTCTTCTCCACTCCTCCACCTCCTGACCCTTTTTGTGTAAAAGTGGGATTATTTGCACTTCCTTCAATCTCCTCAATTGTGGAACTGGTGCCTAGCTGCCGGTGCATGGTATTAGGCATAATTTACAACCGTTTTCTGGGAAAAGTTTCCAAAGAAGTTGGTGCAAATCTCCCAGACCTCACAGAATAATACATTGTGGTGAGTTGTAGATTCTCCTCTTCTGCCTCCAGTTATTTAACTACAGAAACTACAGAGTATCCAGCAATATTAATATATCTTAAGTACTCAAGACACCCCATCCTTTTATCACAAACCTAAGGAACATCTGACAGAGTAAAGCACTAAAATAGATTATAAATTTAAATTGTCTATCCTAAATTATCTTTTTTTTTGCTTATTTCCTTCATTTCACTCCTTTTTCTCCATTCTTTGAAATATATCATCTTTTGAATAGTATGGCCTGTATAATTCACTTGGGGATAGTGCAGCCATCCCAAATTCATGCCAATACAAACTTCATACCACACCATGATGTTGTATGTATTTCTATGTATAATTTAATGCATGATAAAATATAGATTTTTTATTATGCACCTCTGATTCTCTTGAAATCTGCCCTCTAGTCCTCCTTTGTTAATTCCAGCCATTCAAATCTTTAAATGCCTTTAAACAGCTGCTATTTTTAAAATTGTCTGCCAGACAAATATTTTCTTCCTTTTCACACTTTTATTCTACCAAAATTACTGACCCATGGTCTTGGGTGGGCAATATTTAAGTCCTGCACCAGTGATGTGTAAAGTCCAATGTCGTGCTCTTTCAGGTCTAGAAACAGAAGTGTTATTCCATTGAAAAGGGATAATTCACAGCTTTCTACAGCACTTCTAGTCTTGCAAGGTGTAGAAAGTTTGGATACTGGAATTGCGACATCATGTATAGAAAGCTATTTTAAGTAATTTTTTGAGTCTTCAAAACTTTTTTCTCAGAATTTTCCCCCTTAGGCGTATATAAGTTAGACTCATAATAGCTGAGGCACCAGGATTTGCAGGTGAAAGTATGAAATTGGTAGGAACAATCCTAGAAATGCTCTAAAATAATCTCTTTCCACAAATAAATAAATAAAAATAAATATATGGGAGAGATGCTTTATTGGTCTCATTTCTGATTGCATCAATACATCAATCATGACTCAGCCACTCATAAGCAATGGGGTCCACTCAAATCATTGTGAGGCAAATACAGCGCCACACCTTCCTATACTATAAATGCAGAATACATTTTGTATTTTGTGTGCTTAGACATATTATAAAAAGATAGAATATGATAAATTTCTATAATGCCCTCAATGTATTTCACTTAAAGGATTACAAAGCCTATTGGGTGGAGTTGCTCGGGTGGGAAAAACATTATATAGTGACACATGGTGGAAAAGGAGATAGGGTTCTAATAAAAAACTAAATCCTGCTTCAGTTTACACTTTGAATAACACTATTGTAAGTCAATAGGGCTTCTTGTGGTGTAAGTTCATCAGAAGTTCAACAACTTTTTCGAACTCAAGGTGGCAGCAAACACCATCAAAGCTCTCTTTCAAAAAATTCTGGAACAATATTCTGCAATATTAATAGACAGCAACAATAGGACAACAATGTTGTGTGCCGGGCAACTTTGGAATAGCTTTTCTGAGGAGCTTGCAGGACTATATTGAGGTTACTTGTTATTACCCGAAATCTAATTGGCTGCCTGCTTCCATTGTGGATTTGATATACACAGAAACTTCCAGATTGGTGGATGAGAAAACAAATTTACAGCTAAGGAAACGTTTTCGGCTTAAGTCTAAAGTAGCAGCTTTGTTTAGGCTAACTTTAAGTATCAGGACAGACTGATCAGTTTGTTGAACTCTGTTTTCAATTTCTGTTCAGTCTGAAGTTCTAAAGACATAAGAATGAACATATTGGGTCAGACCAATGCCCCATCTAGCCTAGTCTGCTGTCTTCCGACAGTGCCAGATGCCTCCGAGGGAATGAACAGACCAAGTCAATTATCAAGTGATCCATCCCTTGTTGTCAAGTCCCAGCTTCTGGCACAAACACTTGAGGTTCTATTGCCAGCTACATCATTTTCTTTTTTCTGATCTCCGTAAATGAAAGGAAAAACCTGAGCCAAAAGATTTGTCATCTGTAGTGAGACAAAACTACTGTGTGCTTTAAGTGTAAGCAGTAAAACCTAGTGAATTTGTGAATTTTACAGGGAGCCACTGTAAAGATTGTAAAATGAGTGATAAGGGTGGGTGAGTTACCTATAAGAATGTGAATAACTGCATGATATATAGGTTATATTCTGGATATAACATGCTTGAGCATTCATGAAATGTAAGTCTTCTAATGACAGCATAATTCACTAGAAAAACAAAAAAAGAAGTCTCATGGATTACTATTACTCACTACCATTCACTTAAAAAAAATTGTGTGATGTCACAGCTGTTGGTTATAAAATTAAATAAATCTGTGTTCTTCTAACAAGTATTCGGTGCCACTGAATTAAACTGCTGGAGTGGTACTCTAAAGAAGCAGCACTGGCATTGAAGAACAGACAGTCCTGAAAGTGAGAAATGGTTCTGGGGAGAGGAGGGAGTAATGAGAGGTAGTCAACAAGCATTGTAGGAATGCAGCAACAGTGATAGAACAGCGTGTGTAGCACGTGGATTCAGTGCTCAGAACTAGGTATTATATAAAATAAAACATTAGAAAAATACTCTGGAGACAATACTTTCACCAGTTAGTTGAAAAAAAACAGAAAAAAACTGAAAAAACAAATTCCATCATGTGGAACCATCTTGACCTCTTGTAGGTCATCAGCAGGATTGGTACCCATGTCCTTTAAATACACAGTACAGACTTCTACCACTTAAACCAATGGTAAATAGTATCAGTGTTATGCTCTCACTTTTTCTGTAGACTAGCCAGTAAAGAGGGACATGGCATAAACCTTCCAGTAGCTTACACAAGTACTTGCTAGACAGCAGAGGAATGTTGAGAATCTGTTCCTGGCTCTGTTTCTGATGATACAGCCAAGAACACAGTTTTGGTACATTCATTCTGAAAGGCAGTATGGCAAAATGGATGGGATTTGCCATATTACAGACAGATTCTTTTTCCAGGTCTGCCACAATGACACTGTGCAGTCTGTTACCTTATTTATAAAATGGTTGAATGTTAGTCTCCTGTTTTCTAAGGCAGGAGTGTGAGGCATTGCTCAATAATAAGAGTTGTAAAGTGCACAGTATTAACACCAATTAGTAGAAAGTGGTGGACTAGGACTTCAAGTTAGCTCCCAACCCAATTCACCTTCCCCTAAGTCAAAACAGGGAGTGGTTGATGGGTCCCCTCTATACCCTCTATCTAGAGCTCCAGCTCTGTGACAACTATGTAGGAGAGTCAGTGAGGATTGGGAGAAATCCTCAGTACGATTGTCATGTGCGAAGCTCCAAGGGTCTGCAGCATACTTAGTTAAGGTACTATTTTCTGAGATTTTAGCAGCCGCCTTCTAACAAGTATTACTGTGCAATTGCAAATGGCAGTTTTCAGATTTATAAATTGGCCAAATCTGGATTTTCTTAGGGGTAAGGCATCTCTCTATCTCCAAATATCCCTTAGTCAAATTTCTTCCCCCAAGCATGCAGGAACTAGAGAGCTTTAACAAAAAAACAAACAAAACAAAAACAAAAGTTGAAAAATTTAACATTGGCAAAACTACCTATTTTTCAATAGCCTTTTTCTTGGAAATGATTAAATGACTTTGAAACCTAATAAAAAATCCTGGGACAAAAGAGACAAAAACAATCATGGAAAAATTCATTCTGAATAATGCAACTAAGCAAATAATATCAGGCTGATAATGAAAAGTGTTAGACAAGCTTTAACTATAGCCACTATTACCTCTGCCTATAATAAACGAATTTGGGAAGTCACCACTGACACCATGTGCATTTAGAACATCACAGTTCATGTTTGTTTTTAACTATGTTACATAAAATATATAAGAATATTACAATATTAGAGATTTGATCAATCAGTGTAAGGAAAATCGTAGTAGTACTCAGACCTGTCTCTTCCCACCACTCTTCTTCTCCCTTAATCCCACAAAAGCAAATAAGTATGTGATTAGAATGTTTAATGGATAACCACCAATTATTCTTTTGGGTGTTTAATAGTACAGTAGGATTTTTCCAAAAAACAACTCCAAAATGTGGTTTCCTTTTCATACTCAAAATGATATTATCAATAATGTGACACAACTATTACCAATAGTAATATGACTTATATTGTCATCTGCTCTGTGTGACATTTTTTATATTGTTTATGGCTTAATGTATCCCGCTATCAAAGTCCAACATTTGCCTCTTGGTACTCCGTTGTTACAATATGGTCCATTTAGTTACACGAACTCAGTGCATTAGGTACCACTGTGAGGAGACACTGAAGAGGAAAATCTGATTCCATTGGGTCTTTGCTGCAAGTACATCATACAGCTTTGTAGGTGAGCATTGCCACAGGAGGCTTCCTGCTTATGCAACAGGCAAGTCTTAGAGAGTAACTATTGAATAATGATTTTTAAAAGTTGCTCTCCATTGGCCAAAGTTACTGCTCCTCTCTCTTGCTCATGTGCTGTTTTTGACTGTGGTGTGTGTGTGTCAGTTAGCTGCTAATCTCCACCCAAGAGGTGGTTGCATTTTATTAGTCATGAATGTGTAATGCTATAATGTACTTCAGGATCTTTTAAGACTGAGGGGCATTATAAATATGTGTCATGTGTCACTTTTTCGTTGATTTTCTTTGCTCTATTTTTATGGGTTGTTTCTTAGTGTTTTTTTTTCTTTTTTAGGATGAACATATTAAAAATTTCTTTTAAAAGGAAAAAATTTTTTATACAGCAACGGCAAAAACATGTAAGTAGTTCAATGTTTTTTGTTTTCCCATTTCATTTATCAAATTTTTAATCAGTATTCTGTAAATTCTTTTGACTTGTTCTGAAAGGAACCAGTGTAGTAATTTTAGCCTTAAATTTCAGTGGGAGAAGAAGCAGGCTTTACAGATGCCCTCTGTCCGTACTGCCTTGCTCTATTTGGCTCTCCCCATTGAGTTTCCCCTTTCCTTCCTCCACTCCCTCTGGCTGCCACCTGCTGTCACCTTTTCTCCAGAGTCCTCTTTGTCCCCATTGTTATCCCCACCCCCTCAAGTTAATTGTTTCCACACACCCCCCCATATCTGTTAGAGGGCTTATTCCTTCACTCTCTCACTTCCCTGGTCCTTCTCACATGAACAGAGAGCAACAATACCCGAAGTCCGAAGGTGCAAACAATTCGATGATTATTGGGGAGAACATCCAGCAAGCTTAAATCCAAGTTCCTTTTTCCTTATTTTTGAATCCCAACTTACTTCCTGTTTCCCCCTAATTTATATAGTAATATTCACAGCTATACCTCAGCCAGTCATTCTACTAAAATTTACCTAACCAATCCTAACATATTGTAACATGCTTAGCTAACCAATTATATCCAACCACCTTCATTAGTTTACACCCAGCAAAATTAATTATACAGCAGACCGAAACAATCACAGAACCAGACAGAGACCATGCAAATAAACATACAAAATAACACAGAAGTGAGGATTTCACAACTACATCTATAAAGACAAAAGGGTTTCCCAGCGGTGTCTATTGATAAGTGAGTTCTTACCAGACAGAAAACTATCAAACTAAATTTCCTTTTACATCTTCTAGGCTTTTTCCTTTCTCTGGAGGTGATAGATCAGATCATCTTCCTAACAGTCCCAGATTGCCTTATTTCAGTATGACTAAACAGGGCCTCAGACTGTTACAGTGAGAGAAGGCCCTTACACAGATTCTTTCTTTTATACCTCTATAACTAGCTAAATAATAAACATGTACCTAAATTATTAAAGTATAGGCCTTTACAGACAGGCTTGAATATCTATATCCTAACAATACCCAAAAGTACCTTCTTCGTTTCAGTGTTTTTGGAGGTGTGGGGGATCGGGGGGACTGTAGAGGGGATCTTCTTCCATTCACCCACATTCAGCTGTCTTAAACTTTCCATCAGATTACCAGAGTCTTGCTGCCCTTTTCTCAGATACTCCACCTGCTGGCCAGCTGCCTGCAGAATCTGCTCTAATGGTTAGTCTACCCAACAGCTCAGAGGGGTAATTTCCAGCTTGGGTAGACATACACACACTAGCTGTGCTCAAGCTAGTGTGCTAAAAATAGCAGTGTGGCTGTGGTGGCACAAGTGGTGGCTTGGGCTAGTTGTCTAAATACAGGCTCTTCTGACTGCCTGGGTACATACTCAGGCGGCTAGTCCTATCCACCACTTGTCTGTCTTGCCAGAGCCATGCTGCTATTTTTAGCATGCTAGCCCCAGCATATATGTCTGCCAAGCTGGGAGTGTACCCTACGTGTAGATGAGCCACTCTATAGCTGAGTGTCTCTAGAGGGGGGCATGGAGGGAGGAGACAGCACTGCAGGACACACAATGTTGGGCACTGCTGCCTTCCATTCTCCCAGATACCTTCTTTTCTCCATGGGACTCAAAGATGAAAAGTGGTAGGGGATGCATTATGGGAGAAAAACGGCAACTGAAAGACCTGGGGATAAAGCGGATAATGAGTGCCTTCCGTAGTTCAGTAATTATACAATAGCGTCTAAATTGGCAAAATTCGATGGTATACATGGAGATAGTTAAAATAATTGGAGTCCGAATTCACTGCTCACTACAAGATTTCTTAATAAGGTATTTTTCTTGTAAACCGGTGGTAGTATGAGCTCATATTGTGGCAAAAAAACAATAGTGCAGTTGATAATAGATTCTAATTAGTATATTTTGATCTGTTTCCCCTAAGTCAATGGAGAAACTAGTCAATCTTTTTTTTTTTTTTAGAGGGGAGGGGGAGGGCAGGTGGGAAGCTAATTAGTTAGACTATAACATGATAAAATATGACAGGTTTCAGAGTAGCAGCCGTGTTAGTCTGTATCTGCAAAAAGAACAGGAGTACTTGTGGCACATT